GAGTTTACTCTGAGGTGGGCAATGGTATTATCTGTGCAATTAGTTGGTTTGGGGTTATTTTGTTTTAGTATCTGTTTGACAAAGACTACCTCCATGCTGAATGAAGGGCAGTTATGCTTTCTTCATTCTGCCAAACTCTACACGTTGTGGAATATTTCCTCTTGTGTACTGTGGAATATACAGTAAAGCCACATGGAATTAATATTGGTTCTGAAAACTGGAATCAAAATGACATTTTCATAATTACTCACCTGCCTCCTTATTATCTTTTTTATGGTTTAGAAAACGATTTTCAAATGAACAGACAGATAAAGAAAACACTGTGGTGTTCATAATGGCAAACACAGTTTGGCTTTTAGCAATGCATTTAATGCCTTGTGTTGCTTCATTTTTCAAGTCCAACACTATTCTGCTCAGCTTTTGTGGTAAGTTTATTTTCCTTTGCCAGCCTGCATTGCCACTGAGGAGGAAGAGGTAGAAATAATGAACTGCTGTTATAAGGCCACTCCTTCAGCCAGCTTCGCTCAGTGCAGCACTGTTCTAAAAGTTTGCAAAAGTGCCATGTGAATGTTTGGTCAATGTTTTTAAGGATTTCCTATTTTAAGAAAAATTAATGAAAATCTCTATTTCCAAATGAAAATTTTATTTTTAAATGTTAAAGGGAAGGGGTGAGATAGTTATGATTTTCTTTTTTTGTCCCAACCCTGAAACAAACTGGAAAAGAGGAAACTATTTGAATTGGATCCACAGTTTTATCAAACAGCTTTAAATTTAAATCTCAATTACAAAAAAACCAAACAAACCAAAACAAACCCTAAAAAACTTTGCTGTATGATTTCCAAGTGGAAAACAGCAGCCTGGAGAAAAACAACACTTTGAAACGGCAAAGGGAGAGGGTAGAGCTACAGCTAGAAAATGGAAGAGTTGAAACATGCCATTTGGTAGGTCCTGACTTGTTAAAAACTGGAAACTTTTGGAAGGTTGGCAGGGCATAGATCAAAAGAGTTATTCTAATCAGTCTTCACTGTTGTGTTTACCATGGGGTGGTTTACATAGCAGGTAGGAAATGTGTTCACTGCTGGATGTTGTGTTGTTGGGGCAGCATTCCGAGGAAGGCTGCATCGTTCCAACAGCTGTGCTACCAGTGAGGAGCAGTTCTTGCTTATCCCATTCCTGACATACGCTTCAGTTGCCCTCTTGTCGGTGCCTGTCTTAGCTCTGTGAGCCTGTTTAGCTATAACTGAATTAGATTATAAACTCTTGGGTTTTTTTCTGGATAGTTTTTTATCAGCTTAGGGAGCTTGAGCTGGCTGGCTGAATGTCAAAGCTGATGTGCAGGAGAGGTGGGACTGCATGACTGGCAGTGGGAGCGAATGAACTGCCGCTTTCAGTAGCAGTGAGCTATTAAATGAGCTCATCGGTAAAACCTCTCCCTTACAGATTAACTTGCTGATAGGAAAAAAAGGGAGCGAACTGTGTGATTAAAGAATTTTACTCTTCAGTATAAATCAATACAAATGTTGTCGAGAGTTGAGTAGTGAGAAAGAGTTTGTCCTCATTGAAAAATTATGCCAAAGCCAAAAGAATGTCTCAGACTTTCAAATTCTCTCAACTTTAACTGGAACTGGAAGCAGACGTCGAGTAACATTGGTGATATGGTTATGCTGATAAATCCTAGACTTTCCAAAACTGAAATTTAAAAGAAAAATCAAAACACTGAAGCAGATGCTTGAGCTTAACATAAAAGCTGCATCTTTCTATGGTGTAATTTTCCCTCCAGTTGGCAATTTAAAGAGAACTGAAGCCCTTCAGACTTGCCTAGACATCTCGAAATCTGGCCTTTTAAATTTACCACTGTAACTCAAAAGTGGATGCTGAAATCCAAGAGGTTGCACTGCAGTCTCACAGCTATTTATTCTGGGAAGCAGGCAGTTTTACTTCTTATGCCTAAAGGCAAAACAACATTTTGTTCAATTTGCGAGGGGTGCTACAAAATGCAAAGGAGATGTGAGAAATGAGGTCTTTGTTGTCGTTCAGACAATGAAGATAAGTGAGGGAAGGAAGAAGAAGGAAAGCTTACAGGATTAAACCATCCTAAAATTCTGATATATGGGAGTTGTGCATGTCTGTAAATATTAATTGTGATTGAATAGGCATTTAAAATCTCAGCGTATGTGGTGGAAGTTAGGCATCTGCAACTGACGTCAGCTTGATAAATAAACAGCTTATGGTATCTAATGCATTCTGCAATATCTGAAGTGTATGTATTAGTTACCTGGTTAGCTGTATACCCTTATAAATCAAATTTATAGGCATTTTGGTTTAGCATGGAATTTGTATTCATTCTAGTTTCAGTGCAATAATTACAGTAGCTTAATTTTAATGAAAGTAGGCAGTATCTTTTATTCTTCATTTCCATGGTGTCAGTTGTTGAGATGGACATGTAATAGTAAAGAGGCTATTAATATTTTCATTGTCTTGTAGCCAAAACCTTTGGAGACCATTCAGAAAAACAGTGGGAAAGTTATAAACCTGCGCATTTAAAGGGTTACGGGGGGGGAGTAGAGAGGTGTGGTGGGAGGGGGGGGGGGAAGAGTAGGCTGTTGCCAAGTTAGTATGGGATGAAATCCTAGTCCATGTCATTTTAAGTTAATTTGCTTTGTCAGTTGCTTTCAGCTATGAATTGTTGGAAGTAGGCTACCCAAGTTAGAGAAGTAGGCTACCCTAGTTCCCATGCAGTGTATTTCTTGCAGCATAGGGAAGTGCATGGCTGTAACATTAACTGATAAGGAACTGATTACTCCATGGTGTCACTGAAATTAAACCTCTTGCACCAGTTGACTACATAGTATTTTTTACAGGGGTTCAGAATTGTTATTCTTTGATTTCCAAAACAAGATGACTTGTTCATTTTAAAATAAGCTATTTCTCTCTATTCAATAGAAATAAGAAATACTTTTACTTGGGTCATTTGCTAAGCTTTTAGAAATGAGAATTGGTGAATTATTGTCACTTAAAACACACAAAAATATTGAATCCTAAACCCTGAAATGCTGGCTTTTAGTTCAGCTACATGCATGGCTAAAAGCAGCGCAACATGTTTTGCTTTGTTGGCTGCTGAACATAGGCTTGTGCCCTGTTAGCGTCCTACTTTTGGAGTATTTTTAATCAGAAAGTTTAATCCATTGAACTTACTGAGTCTCCTATTTGTAATTTGTCATTAAATTTAAAAGCCAAAGAGAAAAATTCCAGCATCAAGGCAAATTTATCATACAAAGGTGTTGTGTGGCTGATGTTAGGAGGTAGGATACCATCTTCATGCTGAGTTCTCTTGCAATTACAGTTGTGCTTTAATATGCCTTGTGAATTAATTTATGTTACGAGCATATACTGTTAAAGGAGTGCTGCCCTGCATTTCAGGTCAAGTTTTTTTTGGTTTTGTTTGTGACTTTAGTCTTAAAGTCTAAGAGTTGTGTTATTTTTTGACATTTGTCTTGAGCCCAAATTTGGCCATAAGCATTGCGCAGCTCTGTTGATGCAAAACTAGAGATAGATAGCAGTGAAAAGTTGGACTGATGAGCTTTGATGAGAAAGATTAGCATGAAAAGGGTATACATTTGTTCACATTTTCTAAGTGATTTTAAATTACCTTGTGTGTATGAGCGTTCTCTCTGAAGTTAATGGGGTCAATCACTGCTTGTCTGCTGAATTGGGTACAATTAAGAATTCCTCTACACCAATTAGGTACATGGGAGTAGTCACACAAACCTGCTTTTCCTAAAGACTGTTGCCTTTTTGGCATGAGTCATATAGTGCAGAATAAAGAGGTGAAAGCTCTTTCGGTGTGTTCTGTCTAATTGCTTGTTCTGTGTCTCTGCCAGTGCATTCTTTCTTCTTACAGTGACATCTGATTCAGCAAATGTTGTTAATGGAAGTTCTGTTTAAACTTCACTGGGATTTATGGATTTATAAGTGTAAATTTGAAAGTGTCCTTAACTGGTTATGGATAGGGAATATTTGTTGACTTTGGGCCAGAAATGTCAGATGTTCTTTTTTTTTCCCCTAATTGGCCAGAAATGTCAGATGTTCTTTTTTTTTTTTCCTAATTTTTTTTTTTTAAGAATGCAACACTGAGGTTTTATTTTTACAGGTTTTCATACCTCTTTTATTTCACATATTCTGCTGAGTAGCAGCTTTCTACCTCCTGTTGCCTCTTCTGGTTTCTGCTTTCTTCTTTTCAGCATTTTCAAGCTCAAATTCTTCATCTCAAGATTCTTCATTAGAACTCCCTATTGTGATTATCTGATGAGCAGAGTTGTAGAAGGCAGTTGGAAGCAGCAAGACCAAAATGACCACATCTGCCTCTTGATATGTTGTCACGGACATTTTTCTGTCTCTTTAGTGTTTTTAGTTAAATATTGGATAAAATTAGGTGTCACAAGTCATTTAAAGGCATGACTCTTTTGTGGACCAACACTGCTGAGGAACAGCAGTTTCTGTTGTGCTTCCTAATGGCTATCTTTGGCTTAAAACCCCCTTTGTCTCTTTGGACTGGAACACAGGACCTGGCAGGCTGTTCTGTGCTGGAATGAGTGGTGCTCTGCTGGCTCTGTCTCCCTGTGGCCCCACTGGTGCTGCTGGTGGCCCTGTTTCATTTAGGTTCTCACCTTTCAATAGTAGTTCCAGAGTAATTGCTTGGTCTCAGCTGCAAAAACATCTTCCTTCAGGGTTTGTATCCGGCAAAGCGTGTATACCCCCTCACGTTAGAACCATACTGAAGGCAGGCCAAAGGCATGTCTAGCCTGTCCTTACACTTCACACGAACTTTACATTTCTCTTACATGGAACAAAAACTCTTGTCATTAATTGACACTTCTGAAATGTAGGCTTCTTAAAGAATTAGAACCTGACTTCAGTTCTCTCGATATGGCAGTTAGGGGTGCATGCATGTATATGTGTACACACACATCAAAATATAGCTGTATTGTACTCGTGTGTATACATACCTGTGTGTATCTCTTTCTTAAAGATATGGACGTTGGTAGTTGGTTACCTGCTGATGGTTTCATTCAAGTGGAATATAAGCACTGAACGTTACTTGAAAGCAATCTCAGTCCCTGTCTGGATTATGCTGCTCTTTCACTTAGGTGAGTAACAAGAAGTTACTATTCTAGTACATCCACTGGGATTCTGTTGTCTTGCAAACAAAGCTACGCACTTGCTCTTCTGCTAAATCTTTATCATGGAGTCTTAGCTGAGATGCAGGCTGTTTTCTCTGCTCAGTAATTCTGGCTGCATGTGGCCAGCAGGGAGCGTTGGAGTAGGGAATAGGAAGGCATCAAGATGCTGAGCAACACGTGTCTTCCACTCCTCCTGCCCAGTTTGTACTTCCCAAGGTTTTCCCTTATTTGACTCACAGACCTGGTACTGACCCCTGACGGTGGGGAAGGGCTGGAGTCACATGTGGGTGGATTTAGACATTCACTTGTGATGATTTTTAATATTATTATTTTCTTGAGAGCCTGCCATTAACCAAGGCTGAAGCTGTAAAATGCATTTAATAGTAGTAATAGAATTTTTTTTTTTGCTTCTATCAGTAATCAACAAGCATGTTGATATGATATCAACAATATCAAATAAATTTGCCAGTAATCTATATAATCTGTTAATACAAATACAAGATTATAGTAGTCTATTAGTGTTTTATTTTACATATTTACTGTAACAGATTATCAGATTATATCATATCGGAGGTTATGGTGGAAGTATCATGCAAATAATAGAAGACTATCATGATGGAAGGTTTCACAGCTTGCTTCATGATTTACTTTGCTTTAGCAGCAGGTTTCAAGGATTGTTCTGGCCATGTGGGGACACTTTCCTTAGGTTTTAAGCTACACATAATAGCTTTGCCTTTGGTTGCATTTTGACAGTCTTGTATTTGTTGAAAGTACTAGCTGAAAAGCCAAAACCCAAGAAGGCACTGCTTGATGCCACTCTGTGGAGATCTAACATAAATACAGATTTTTGGGGGGAGCTTGGTTTGTCTCTGATATCTAAAATGTTTTTATTTTGTGTGTATTTTCATGTAACTTTGCATGTTGTTTTTAAAATTGTTTTCTAAAGAATATCAGCATAGTTTAAAGTCACGATTTAGGAACAGTAACAACTTGGTTTATTCATTGAGAAACTTGTTCACCTGTTTTTTCTATTCTTCCTTTCCATGAATGTAGAAAACTTGTTTGCTTCATGACAGTTCTTAGCTTCTGCCCAGATTGTTCTTGGTTGATGTGATGACTTTCTTGGATTTGCTAAATGTAGAGTTTATTAATGGCGTATTTTTTCTTGTTAAAAAAAAAAAAACAACAAACAAACCTGTATCTTTCAGCTTCTGTGGCAGGTTCCTGGAGAATTCCTGTGTTTCTGGTTATAGTTGTTCTGATGACTGTAGGCATGTTGCATGAACAGCAGAATGGGAAGGAGTCTTCTGGTAAGAAATGAGTCACTATTTCTTTTATTGTTGGAGGCAAAAGCTCTGTAAAGTCAAGTGAAAGAATCTGGACTGTATTACTGTAAATTCAATATCATACGGATTGCAAGAATTTACCATAAGATTTTCTGTATGTTTATTTCAAAGTGGTTTATGCATGCTGAAGTTAATCTTTGATTCTTTACAGAAAATCTTTGTGATGGACTGATATTTGTTTTCCACAGCAAAGTAGTGACTCTCATTATCAAGCCCGATTGTTTAAGTTTACAGAATCCAGTATGTAGTTTCAAGCATAAAGAAAGCCCAGGAAATTTGAAATCAGAGGCTAATTTTGAAAGAAATGGGCAATATGGGTTTAGTAGCTCCTATAATATTGAGTATGAGAGAAACAGACGACTGCATCCAGCTAGCTTCTTATATCCAGTCATTCGTTTTTAAAATACCAGTTTCTTAAAACTATGGTTTGTGTTTCGACTTTGAGAAAAATAGGGTTTGCCTGTTGTGAGTCAATTTTGCATGAAAGCAAATGTCAGGTGTTCCTTTCTAGTACTAGCTGTACTATTATTTTGGGAAACTTTTTTCCTGTCTTGCTGTTTTAGTTTTCTTAAAAGGCATCATAATCTTGGTTAGTAAAATTGATTATCTGGTATAGAGATTTTTAGATTAATCAGACTGCCAGCAGCTGCGAATTACTTGGTCGGTAGCAGTTTGTTAGCAAGGAAAGTGCTAAGCAAATAACTGGTTTTGTGTTTTGGCTCCAGGTGTATTGTAATACTAAAATTAACAGCACTCATTCCTGTTTGATCATATTGACTACATATAACACATATTAAAAACTAACAGTGTCTATCCGTATAATTTCTGTTGCTTGACAGCTTTGGTGGATATCAGGCAACAAATAAAACATTTTAAGACTTAAGCTTTTCTTTATTTACATATACGTATATATTTTACAGGGGCAGAGCTTCCTGGTCAGATGATTTCCATTGCTGCTTCAACAATTGCCATGGCAATTTCAATGACAGAAGATGAGTCCAATAATGAACGTTCCTCACAACCCTCAGGTGACTGAATACTCTGTAAGAAGACATTTGAATTTGCTCTAAAGGCATGAAATTAAGGAGGGAATTAAGAACAAATTTCAAAATTGTCTCTATCCTCTTCATCCTGTCCAAAATAGCACATTTATACTTACCTTGTGAAACAGGTTTATCTGTTTTTAAAAATGTTAAGACGACAATAATATAAAAGCTATCTTTCAAATGATAGTTTACATGGCTGTCTGTGCATTTAGAAGGCCTGACTAGAAGATTTTCCCGCCCCCCACCCCCAGAATGAGGGCGTGTGTTTTTCCTATTCTTTATTTTTAATTTTTTTTATTTTCCGTAGCCTTCTTTTGATTTGTTGGCAGTTACGAGATATAACTGGATTTCTGGACGAGGTACAGACAGACTGGAATAACTTTTGTATACATCACAGTGACAAAAAACCCCTTTGTTCTCTGTTTAACTATGGCATGCTCAAGGTCTCCTGTAGTGAGTTTACTTGACATTGTAGCTTGAGTCATGATACTTTCACTTGCAATAACACAACTAGAAATCTGTAAGAAATGGCTCAAAAGAGTTGCAAAGAAGCTGTTTAGATGTCCATCACTGGTTTTGAACTTTACCATCATTTTTCCAGGTAGGCCTCTGATGGAATGCAATACTAGAAAAATAAGCTATTACGGACATCTTTGGAAATTGAAAGTTTTCATCCATTTCCCGCAAGTAGACAAAACAGGTCATTCAACTTGACAGAATGTGAACTTCCAAAACTTCTTTTTGAAATTGGCTGTGTCTAAGAGTCATCTACTTCAAGACAGTATGTTCTTAATATCGTCTGTAATGTGTAAATTGTGCTCCAGAGGAGGAAACATAGTGATGGTGCAGGAGAGAATGCTTTGAGCGTGTGGCATTTAAAACTTCTGTCTAAACGCCACCATTCGTGAAACTAAAAAGTTACTTCAGCCACCAGGTGAAATGGTGTATAACAAGCTCTTCAGAAATTTTTCGATGAAATGTAAACACACTTCCTAATTTTCAATGTGTCAATGTAAGCTGTACTTGAAAACATGCTTCATTTTTAAATATAAAAAGGGAAGCTTTAGACAACTTACTCTTATCTTTGTTTCTGCATTTTACGTGACTATCATCAAAATAAATACAGAACCCTACGGATGTATGTCCTGAGTTTGAGAATGGAGCATCATGGTGACAGTTCTGTTACATTGCTGTCTCTAATCTTTAATTTTGGAAATGGGATTATTTTTTTAGCTGGATTTTGGACATCTGGTCAAGCAACAGTCTCCCACAAATGTGCTATGTAAGTGGTTGTGTTCTTGTTTGTTGCTTGGGGTTTTTTTGTTTGGGTTTTTTTTTTTTAACTTACACACTGGTTTTAATTTTTTTCTGTTCTTTAAGACAGTTTGTTTTTCTGTTTTCAAGTTGTAACCTCTCTTGGCCAAAAGAAGACTACAGCAGTTTTACAAAGGTGTCTTCTATAGTGAATGTTTTCTGACTTATTTTCTTGAGACCAGAGTTAACCAGATGGTTTTTTGTCTTGCAAATTCTGTTGTTTTCCTTCACAGCAGGAAAAGAACAAATATGGAGTTTCCTGTTTACTCCTAACAATAGTTCATACAATTTTCCAACAGTCTGTTGTGAATTAGCATTTTATTCTGTGATACATGTTAAGCATCCTTTTGGTCATCGTTGGTTTGGATCTTCTATGTGAATGGTGATGAAACATTATTCTTGTACAGCAAAAGGATTACCTGCAGGGTTGAGAAACTGCAACTCTTTTGGTTTTCCTCTGCAGTGATTTTTGGATATTGTGTCATCTTGCTTTGGAACTTGTAATGTAACACACATCTATTTTATGAGAAGTTTAAGATTTTGAAAGTTTTCACATCTTCAGGCAGGTGGATAGCAGACTTCAGGAGGAGATCTTCCTTATATCTATTCTAAATATGTCAGTGGTTGTCAAGGTTGGTTAATTGTCAGTAGCAATAGCAATGCATATACTGTATTAAAGCAATTATAGAACAATCAATGCTTCATGTTTTTGCTGTTCTCCTTACACTTCAATTTTTTCCATGAAAAAAACAGGAGGGGAAATAAACTGTATTGATTTTATAGTTTTTTATGAACACTCAGGTTTTTCCTTATTTTGTTGCTGAATACTGGTATTTAGTGTTGGGGGTGAGGAATTTAATGATACTGGTGAAGGTGGTCTAACTTGTTCTTCCTGGTGTCCCAAGAATTTCCAGAGTATACAGCAAATAAGAAGTCCGCAACTTCAGAAGCAGATACCACTGCAGTATTTTGTTAGCTGCCTTGTAGGCAAGATTCTGTTGTCTTGTTGGTTTTGAATATGATAGATACTGAAATCCTTAAATGTAGTCAGGCCTCTTACCCTCCCTTCCCCCCCACTTCGTTTACTTAAAAGGAAAAAAAAAATCTTTTTCTCTTGAAATTACAGAAAGATGTGGTTATTCATGAAGGGGTATCTTCATCCTGGTGTTCTGAAAGACTTTGTCATTAATAATAATAAAATTACTGTTTCATCTAACTCTGAAGATTTTATTCTGATACCCCGCTCCATAGAGATACAGACACTTGCCTTCCTGTTTGTGCTGCTGTTCCTTTTCCTTTTATTTAAGGAAGGGGAGGAGAATAATTCAAAACGTTATGCCAGCAAGAAGTTGACTTGACAGAGAACATATTGTGTAAAGAAAAGAACAGCCTGGAAAATTGACTTTTTTGTTGTTTTTATTATATTCAAATAAGTACCATACATTCTGATTTTGCTAGAATTCTTTACCAGGTATTATGTTAGCCATTTGGGAAAGACTGTCATACTTTCATTAATTGGAAGATAGAAAGGTGTTTTTCAGGTTTCATCTCTAAAAATATCGTGAAGCCCACTAAATGGGGTTTTACAGAACCTGAAGTTACGCTAAATCAGTATTATGATAGCCCTTTTTTTTTCCTATTTGTGTTGACAAGGCACTCATGCCTTGGTTTGCAGAGCATATCTTGCCAACAAAATGTGGCTTTTTTCATTTGCAAAGTTTGGTGGGTTTTTTGGGTGGATCAACTTTGTGACCTGACTTATGATACAGTCATCTGAACGGCAGTTCTGATGCTAAGGAGTCTGTGTGTTTGTCATGGGGAGAATACTGCGTCATTGGCAGTGCCAGTTTAGTTTGGCTTAAAGTGCTGCGGAACTGCATTCTGAAAAAGCTCTCTTGTCTTGGGATCCCCTAGGAGGTTTTAGTCTTAATTCTTTTCTTTCCCTGTCAGCTCTTTCCCATCTGTGTTTTGCATTCTGTGTCCAGTCTGCTCAAGTTAATAGGGAAACTGTAAGAGAATGAGGCAGTTTAATTGGTACTACTCTTAACGTTACTGTTGCTGTTATTTAATTAAGGTTTTCTTCATTGCAAAAATATGTTGATCAAATTTTTCATTATCAAAAGAAGGAATATTCTTTTTTCTTTCATAAAAGTGACTCTACTAAGGGCTTTTGGGGCAAAAAGTGTCGGATAACTTTAATCTTGAGGCATAGATTTCAGCATATTAAATTGCTTTGTTTTTTCTTGTCATGGTTTAACCCCAGCCGGCAACTAAGCACCATACAGCCACTTGCTTACTCCCCCCCGGTGGGATGGGGGAGAGAATCAGAAGGGTAAAAGCGAGAAAACTCGTGGGTTGAGATAAAGACAGTTTAATAGGTAAAGCAAAAGCCGCGC